TCAATCTATCTCTCACTTTTCCTTTCTCTTTTTCTTAATTCAAAACCCTCTTTCTTTTTACCCCAAATTAACATATAATTAAGAATAAAGGATGGCAATAATATCCCACTAATTAACTTAGGGTTACCTCTTTTAACCCCCAAGAATTTGAGTTATTAATATAAACCCACGAAATCTATAATTAAGAAAAGAATAGTCCCAAACGTCCCTTAAAACGTGTAAGGAAATCCGATTCTGCCTGGGATTTGCGCAACCTGTGACGAGCCGTCGTGCCTGCGACAGTCCGTCTTGCAGGCCGTCGCAGAGTTCAGAGACCCAAATTTCCACCAAGGGTCTGTGACGGTCCGTCCTGCCATTCCGTCACAAAGTTCAGAGAGTCGATTTTTAGTACCCAATTTCAGATTTTCTAAGTGTTTTGAAACGCGACTCTGCGACGGTCCGTCGTGCCCATGACGGTCCGTCGTGGGGTCCGTCGCTTTTGCCAGTTTTTCCAGAAATAAAGTCTGCTGCTCAAAACGACTAAACGGATCGTTACACAAACAATCCCATATGATCCTAAAATGAAATTACAAATTGTACTCATGCATAAAAGAAAAGCATAATGTATAAGTGATCACCCATTGACTTAATACAGATAAAATGTCATGTTCTTAAATTATGCCACTATTTTTAATACCTTAGAGGCTATTATGCAAAGTTAAACCCGATACAAGGAAATTTGACTTTAAGCAATTAATGGTCATTAGCCAAATCTGAACAAAGATAAAATATCCACAGTGAGCCCTCTAGTATGCCTCATGCACAGGGAGCAAAACAATGGCATCAACCATGGCAAACTAACTCCAAACAAGTCATATATCCACACAGATCAAGGACGGCAGGCACTTCCTTTCAAGAATAAAAATGAGAAAATCGAATGAAGGCATTTGCTGAAGAAAACAGTCGACAAACTTGAGCAAGACTAATGAACTAAAAGCTAGCACGAAATCATCTTATCGAAACCCCGACAACTTGGACTATCACTAGCTTCAAGACAAGTATTGATATCAAATGCCAAGTAGATTAAGGTAGCATTGTAGTCCCAACAATGAGTTACGGCTACTTTATCAAATTTCATGAAAAAAGACTAATGCAATCCTAAAATACGACCCATCTCGAAAGCGATACACTTAATAACTTGGAAGCAAACAAAATACTTGAAGTAAAACCATAACCTAACTCAAATATACCATCAATAAGATACCGATGTCATGCTAGAACCGAAATATTATAACACGGAACAAACAGCCAGGAAGGAAAACAAGCCAAAAATTTATCAAAACCCATGAAGTCAATGGACAGTGAGGTAAGGTTTTAGCTTTTCCGATCAATCCCAAAACATTAATTAGGCAAAGAAAGCCATGAAACAAGTACTAAATCAAACAAATGAGGCAAAAATATAATCAACATGCCAATACCAGTAAGCAGAAACCGATGCCATGGAATTTCTTAAAGAAGTCGAACTAAGAAAAAGCTACAGAT